TTAGTATGTAGTACAGGTAGAACATCAGAAACTGCATAATCATTTTCGTATATTGGTTCCCAACGAATAAAATTGTTCGTTTTGTAATTATTTTTTCACATAGGTAGAACTCGTGTGGGGTCTTAACAATGTTATTTTGGGGATAAACTAAGGGTTCACTAGTGAACGATGATTGGAATCAAATAGAGCGATATACACAAACGAGATAAAATATTCAAGTATTGTTGCATTCACTGGGGGGCAACATATAAGAATGAGACACTGTGCAGGTACGTGAAACATGAAACACGAAGCTATCAAAGGTTTTAGAACAGACTACAGAAACGACACTATAGATATGTATGTGCGAGTAGTACAGGTAGTACATCAGGGTATATAAAGTAGTTGGAATGTACAATATTTCTATTGTGACTGTTGTGTCGGGGCGTTTCTTCACAAAGTGTAGTTCCTCCGCGATGGGGAGTATGGCAGCAATTTCAACAGATCAACAGATCTAAACATTGCGCATAACAATACTATAGGAAGCGGCAGCGACACTTCACTGCTCCATTGCGCTCCCTATGGAACTCCATACATGATGCGCAGATATTACGTAGCAGAGTGCGCTGTTGGAAGCAGGGAAAAAGAACAGGAATAACGCAAGTTGCAAGGGATCTGGGAGGCGGCCAGCAGATACAGGAAAAGAGAATCGACAAATGCCCGATGTCCGCTGAGTGCTCTGACTGTTACGTATTCGGACATTTAGCAAGTGATGTTGACAGTTGGCGCAATGCACGAAGCAGGAATATACGTTAGCAGACCGGCAACTGATCTTAACTACAACCTAAATGACTCAGGCTGTATGATATCACCTTTTATGAGGTATAAATGCTTAAGATTAATGGGTAATCCTCAGTGATGGACGGTGTCAACCTACGCATAGGTACTACGCATAGGTCCTCTGTGATGATAATGTGAGAAGAGCCAAAATATCCGGAGAGTTTTAATTGTGAAACGTTCTTGCGGTTTGGATCGATTTGTAATTGCAGACCTGTACGTAAGAGCTAATGAGAGATTACGCTTGGTTTGCTGGTTAAAGGGGTTTTCTTTCAACCGTTAATCTTTAGTATGGTCACTTTGACAACCCCCCGTTTTTAAGACTCTGTAACCAAATGCGCTGTCATTTGCCATATAGGATGCTTCTGTAGAGCCAGTCTTGAAGGAGTGGATGCGTCAATGTAGAAAACTGCATCGCCAGATCAGCCGCCTATTTATAATTTAGGGATTTTGGACTCCTTACGTATTGTAAAATATATATATATATATATATATATATATATATATATATATATATATATACAGATATCAAATATTCACTTCGCACGAGAAAGAATATTCTAGAAATACATTTTTGGACACTTATTTTATAATAATTTATTTAGAATTGATTGCTTGGAAAGTACTAATTACTAGAAGATTCTAATAGCGAAATAAACTCTCACACAAAGCAAAGTATAAAAATTACAATATTTTCAAATAAAAAGCTTTCCGATGGTACTTCAGATCTAAACACCTAACATCTACTTGCTCTGAGATGGCACGACATCATTCGGATTCCCGGAGTCCATAAATTGCTGTGCTGGAAGATATGGAATAGTCTTTCGTTCTACTCGTACCACGAACATACTAAAACGTATTCGATAACTGTGAAGCGATATAGATGCCAAACGGTAAGATAAAACTGTGAAAAATATTTATATCTACGTACAATTAAATTCAATTTTGATTTCAACATGTTATGCTTAAAACGAAGCAACGTTTTCACAACGACTTACTAATTTAAACAAGTGTCGCCGTAATTCAAAAACGAGTAACTCGCGCTGTCTGGACCAGACAGGAGCGTCGGTAACGTTCGCGGAGTTTAAATATTGCAGGCCGGAAGGTATGCGCAGTCCCGAAGCGCATCGAGCAAACGCGTCAAGTGGCCGGGTGGCGGCGCGACGGCTGGAAAACTGCCCAGTCCGAACGCAGGCACGCCCGCAGCGATGGCCTCATTACGCTAATACGGCCTAAAAATGTGTTCATTAACCCTCGACCCGGCGCGGCTTTATGTCTAAATTTCTCTCTTCGTCAAGCGCAGAGCACACCGGCCCACTCTACGCGCCCGCGCGTTGTTCCAGTCGCCCTTCCGCAGTACTCTCCGTTGTCCACTTGACGCTGCCACAGCGCCCCTTCTGCCACTTCCCCCGCCACCATTCCCCCGCCACAGCCCCGCGCCACAGCCCCCGCCACAGGCCCCACGCCACCAGGCCCCGGCCACAGGCCCCCGCCACAGCCCCCGCCCACAAGCCCCCGCCACAGGCCCCCGCCCACAGGCCCCCGCCACAGGCCCCGCCACAGGCCCCCGCCACCAGGCCCCCGCCACAGGCCCCGCCACAGGCCCCCGCCACAGGCCCGCCACAGGCCCCCGCCACAGCCCCCCGCAACAGGCCCCCGCCACAGGCCCCCGGCCCACAGGGCCCCCCCCCAGGTTCGCCCCACTGCTCGCTCTGACCCTCCTCACACCGTCTCCTATCCTCACCACCCGCGATATTGAACAAGAGCTTAAAACGGGCTGGGTTATCACCTTAGGGAGCCGCACTACCCTCCACCCCCGGCCCGCACGCCCCTGGTGCTCCCGACGCCCACTCACGCCTCCCGGCGCGCGCGTTTCTGCTCCCGCCCCATGGCGACAAAGCGCCGCTTGATCGCCCCGGTGCGCGAGGTATGTCGTGATGACGGAGATTGGCCCAGGCTCGCAACGGCGCTCGCACAAGGTCGTAATGAGGAGGATCGGCGCGGTGGCACGTTCGGAATGGAACTTAATGCTGTTTTATTCCGGTTTCGTGCGAGATTCTTCGTTGAATGGAACTTAGAGGAAGCAATACACACCTCCGGAAGATATCCGAGGCACACTTTCTAAATTTTCGACAATTCTTTAGCCCTCGATCAGGGGCATCCAAACTAGTCGTACCAGCATGCTCGTGTTCCACTTTGTGCTGCCCCGCGATTTTCACATTAAAATGCACGTGACAAGCGTAAAACTATAATGGTTTCACGACCACATTACAATTTATTTTAAATCTGGAGCAACCTAGCATATTACAATACATTTTATTTTATTTTATTGAATAACACAAATGTATTCAGTTCCACGATGTGATTGAAATTTGGAAATCTCTTTTAAGGCAGAGTGGGATTTTTAGTATGAAGTTTGAAATACATTTACATTACAAATTGTACGTGTTATTTTCTTCTGAACGGACCATACTTTGGCACCTGTGAGTGGTCGTGTTTCTCACTGTTTCCGATACATCACGCGTTCGCAACGTTTTCTTCAATCTCATTCAATACCGGCTCACTTTCGACTGCTCTGGGACAGAACTCATCAGAACGATGGAAGCGAGCAAGAACTGACAGTAGCGGCGGGAGCAGTGGCAACAGCAAAAACTATTCAATCGACGAACGTGAAATTGCCGAATGATTCGAACAGCGACTGGTGATTCCGTCAGGGTAAGAACTTTGAGAACCTGAATCAATAAGTCTCGTGGTACGAATGCTCTGTCAGACTTTCGCTTTGAGACATTGAAATACCCCAGAGGCAAGTAAGTTATCTCATAAGTAGGAAGAATCTTACGCTCTAACTAGGATAACGACCAATGAACGAAGATATGAAAAATAAAATCTTTTACTTAAAATAGTTTACTGCATTTAAAGAACGTTGAAACAGATAAATAGAAGTCACATTTTGTAGTACTCAATAACTCAAGTCAACGTTTCAACACCTTGTTTTCTGATATGTTTTAATACCTTGTTGTTTTTTGCTTTGGTTTTCTGAGTTGGTATGTGACAACTAGATTCAAGAGATTCTACTTTGATTCTCATTTCCAAGTACAGAAACGAAAGAGACGCATTGTGTGTCATTTTGTCTGATCGCTTTTGAGGCTGCGTTATCAATCACAGCATGACACTCCGGGCGACAGTGTCATTTGATCGTTCGGATGTGCGAGATATGTTACAATGGCACCAATTGTCACAGGAGGCGTTTTGTATGGGAAACAAAACAGCGTGGAAATGTTCTGTAGTACATCTGATCTAAACGTTGATGTGAATATGACAAAGTCGCTTTTATCAGTCAAAAACTACTATCATGAAAAATTAGACCAGATTTTTATTAAGACTTCTAGAGTGACACATTCTTTGGTAAATATAAGCGTAAATTTTAGAGGACTCTCTGTTAAAATAGTGTGGGTTGACTGAAAAAACATGGACAAGAGAGAGGGGTAAAATATTGTTGTATCTTAATACAGATGTTCGGCAAGAATAGGCAGGTTTAGCATTAAGTATCTAAGAGAAGCTATTTAATTTTGTACGATCGAAAATGTTCCTTTTATGAAAGTAATCGAAACATTTGCTTGTAGAAAACTTTTTTCATACACCAAAGATTAATTTTCTACAAATGATCACTAGGGAAGTTAAATGTTAACCATATTTTCTCATTTACCACACTAATTAGTACAATATTTTCGCTTTTCAACTGTGAATACACTTTGTTGAACGTACTCCGCCTCTAAGTTGGCTCATGATCACCGTTGTACGTGACCCAAGTTCCATCCCCGGTCGAGGCAAATATAGAATTGTAGCTTTGCTTTGAAATCGTCCCAGTTTCCGTAGCTGTAGATCGAAAGCACAGGCAGGTGGATTACCCCCAAAGTATGGGGATTTAAATAGGCCTAGGGCGTTTGTGTTGTTCTTACATGTTCCCTCAGTTACCAATCACAGTAAAACCGACACAGTGGTTGATATATGACCTAGAAGGTACAAAGAGACCTAATGTAAAAAAAAAAGGGAAAAAAAGAAGAAATACAAAAAACATTAGAATAAGGTTGGAGGGCTGACCGGAAAAGTTAAAATATCAACCCCGAAATGCGTTTGTGTTCTACAGAAACATGAGTGGATGAGCACTGAGAAGATATACTCACCACGGGCTCTCCATCCAGCTTGACGTCACCGGCCAAGTCCATCATGTCGAGGGCGAGGCGAGCGATGCACCGCGCGTGCTCATCACAGGGCTCCGGCAGGCCGCTCACCGCCATGTACTTGTCGCCCACGGTCTCAACCTGCGCAAAGAGAGAACGTGTCCTTACAAATGGGCTGCCGTTGTCCATTCAGGCTTGAGAATTAAGAAAGCTCATGGGGGAAAGAGTGGAAGCGGGATAAGTAAGCTGAATAGCGTCTGCCACGAGCTTAAAAAATGTGGTAGTTGAAAGCAAAATGTAAACTATTTTAATACTAATTATTTTAAATTACAAAGTTTGTTTCTTTTGTTATTAATTTTGAATGCATATGCTCATTAATTTCAATTTCGATTGTTCGGCCACAGAATGATTTTTTTATACGACACCGTTAAATAAATGGTTGTGCAAAGTGTCTCTCCATACACTACCTTACAATTACAGTTACCTTTTTAAATCATTGCAAAATTTGTGTCCCAATATTCATACATACGGTTCAATAATGCTTTCATGGCTTTCATGCAGACATTTCTTTTCATCGGAACGACGAGGAACTGTCTGAAGTTAGCTATTTTTAAAATGGATTCATTTAAAGCTGCTGTAAACACTTTCTTACAAATTCTAACCGATTGAAAGACTTCGTTTTCAAGACGAATTCTTAAGACAATATAATGTGATGTTTTTAACATTCTAAAAACAATAGATCAGTTTCCTGGAGCAAACTGAGAGGGCAGCGAGTAATTTTCATTAAATGAAAATGCCAACAGAAGCAATCCTACTGCTTTGGCAGTAATAGCAAAAGGGTACTAATATTACCTTTTGTAACATTGAACCATATTCATACATCTGACCTTTCAAATAAATATAAGATATTGCAAAGTATTTTTTATCTGTACTACTAACTGTTACGAAATGGAATTTATAAATTTGTTTGCGATGTGTGAACTCGGAAAAGAGACTGAGGGATGTGGCGTCAGTTACCAGGGACGCAAGTTTTGTTAACAGGAGACTGGGTCGAGTAGTGAATGGACGCCCGAATGTAGGCTGTCATTACCAAGACATTCTTTTTTAACCCCCCAATAGTAGCAAGTTCAGAATATTAGAAATTTAGCAAAATTTTGGGAAAGGAAAATAAATCAGGGAACCTCGAGTAAGTAACAAGATATACGCGGAAACGGAGAAGGTAACAATTGCCGATTGATTTTGGTTACTGGAATTCACGAATAATATCTTTGCTTTGTATTTGAAATTCAAGTATTCTTATTTAAATTACCCCAAGACGGAGGCCAACGGACAATAGCGCTTGGTGAGCAACAATTCACTTGCAGTTGAATTTATACGCGTTGCTGTCGATCGTGGGCATAAACGAGTGCATACACTGTTGCTGGAGATAGTGCTCATAATATTCGTAAAACTAATTTCGAATATATAAACTGACAGAAAATTAAGCTGCCTATGACCATGTGTTTAGTGAGAATGATTTGATTAAATACCTAGGGAGACTGGAAAAATACAATAGTAATTAAAGTTTCGATTTTGACTGAAAAATACAAATATTTGGGTACATTAATCTGCAATTTCTCTACACCCGACGCTACGACTATATTCTAATTTTTAGTGCATCACTGCTTTTGAGAGCTGTACGCGACGAGAAAAAAAAATTTCTATATTCATGCGTGCCGTTTCAGAAAAGTCAATTTTTCTGCTCCAGGACCGAACTCGACAATCGTACTTTTACTGCTGCAAGCCTAGTAAACACCAATCCTAATAACACTATCAGTGAGCATTGCATATACAAGGTTACACGTGTATGTAATATACTGTCTTCCAAAGTCTAAATACTAACAAAATACTATTAAAATAATAATTCAGCAGTTCTTAAAATGTTGCATACTGTTCTATATCAATGTACAGGAAACAGAAGAAAAAAATAAAAATTAAAAGATAAAGGAAATTAACCCACGCTGTCAAAAGATTCGCGTTGAATCGAGTTAAACGTAACTTTTCGTGAAAGTAGTGAGTCCAGTTACGACCCCAATTTCAATCGTCGTATCACAAAAGTATCAAATGAAATTCCAGTGCGCACAGACACGAAGGTGATTCGGTTGGCGTTGAGACAATAGCCAGGGCACCGAGGTTCTCCGCAGCAAAACTACTGTAACGAGCATCTCGTAAAACAAGGTTCCGCACTCAGCGATTGCTAGAGTACAGCGATTTTACATGACTTTGAAAGAACACCATTTTCAGAGCTTTATTACGCACCTGAATACAATAAATACACATTTATAGATACCATAAATAAAGAAGAACTTTGCAAGAAAAGACTTTTATACTCGATCTGAAAGGAGAGATGCATCTATGATCAAACTTATGTGGACGACATTCATAGGAAGAATCTTTTTCAAACGTATATTCTGGAAATGTAAGATTAGAACAGAAACAACAGATAATCCCTTTTGTTTTGCAAAAAAATTCCTGTCGTTTTTTTATTTATCTACTTCCCTTTTCGTTAGGAATGCCTCAATTACCAATTTAGTCTGCAACGTAAGCACCATAATGAACACGTAGGACTGGAGTAAAATGTTTGAAAGGAAATACATTGGAAGAACGGAAATATTAATAACATTTGCAGTGTACGAAAGAAGGACTATTCATTACAAGAAGGTATGATTTGTAACCAATAATATCATTACTATTTTATACTATTAGACCTGAAAGTTTCGTATCCATTTAAAGTTGTTATGTACCACTAACATTACACACTAAGCTGATGAATTTGTGAAATAAATAGTTACTTAGTCTTAAGATTATTTTCAAAGACTGATATTCATATTTTATTAAGAATTTAATTTAGCATTAAGATGAAAACTATTTTGAAGAGGAGAGTGACAAAAAAAGCGATGATTTTCTTTTAAAAATAAAAAAAAGGAGTTTAAAGATCTTTTGAGAGAACGTGATACTACTGATGTGGCTTGTGTGAAATACTCAAAGTTAAATATAATAAAATCCACAATAAATACTTTCTCTTCTCTTTCTTTCTGAAGTAATTTAGTGTCATAAATATTCAACGTTTATAAATATATTTTTCCTTCTCTATTTTGATAATGTAGAGTGTAAATAAACAATTACAGGTTACGAAATTATTGGTTCAAGTGTACCATTTAAAAAAATGTAGTATTGGCCAAATTATGATTTGATATAATTGTTAACATTTATATATTATATTTCAATGTAAAAGTGTATTTAAACAATGTTTCGTCAAATTATTTACGATTCTTACGAAAGCATTAACTTTGCCCACGAACATTACCATGAACATTTTCTGTCTATTTATATAACAATTCAAAATCACTTCTTTCATTGGAATATTCGGAACAATACTTTTGGGTTACACAAAGTTTCCGAAAAAATAAAATTTTTAAAACCAGGAAGATTACTTCCTTAGTACACATGTGCATTTCTTATACAATATTTACTGAATATCAACAGTTTTCAATTCATACATTTCTTAATCTCCCAACCTTTAGATAAATCAAGTTGATTTGGATAACCTTAGTTCAGATTAGCAAATCAAACGCATCTCTGCCCCCCATCAGGACGCCCTGTTTTTCTACCTCAAGGCCAAGGCAGGCACGAAGAGCCCAGTGGCACGTACCTTGTAGACGTTGGGGTTCTTGCGCGGGTCGGTGAGCACGTCGAAGGCGGTGTAGAGCTCGTTGAGCATGCACACGATCTTCATGACGCCCAGCGGGTCGGTGTTGGCGGCGCAGAGCGCGCCGAAGCCCACGATGCCCGAGAAGAGCAGCGTGACGCAGGGGTAGCGGCGCGCGGGCACCGGGCGGCGGTGGCGCAGCTCGTTGGCCACGCTCACCGGCAGCACCGAGTACAGCAGCCTGCGCACGCACGCCGCGCACACCACGCCCTCACCACTGCAGATCGACCATTAGACCTTACAATTGCCGCTTCAATCCGCATTGGATTCAATAATCAATTACTTTAATCAGTTGATTGGTTGACTAGAGATTCCGGGAGTGTTGAGGTAATTTGTAGAGCTCACCAGTAGCATCAAAGCAACAGCATTGTAGCATGAAGTGCCCACGCTTACCGCCTGCATAGAACACAGCAGCCTAAGCACGCATACCCAATCCCTCTGCAACTTCATGACTGGCTCTTTCAATTACTGCTTCAATCAAATTTGCTTCAATAATCAATTACTTTAGTCAGTTGATTGGTTTACTAGAGATTCCGGGAGCAACTGTTGAGGTCATTTGTAGTGCTCAACAGTAGCACGCAGACCCACCCTTCTGCAAATTCATGACTGACTCTTTCAATTACTGTTTCAATCAACATTTGTTTCAAAAGTCAACCGCTTCAAACGATTGATCGGTTGATTTAATATTCATAACTGTTGGGATAATTAGCAACGTAAATGTAGTGTATGTTTTTTATTGCGTGAGGTAGCGGTGATCTTCTCATACTGAATAGCAAGATCCGGCGCCGACCTAAACGTTGGCTAGCGAGTTTTCACCAAACACGTATCTTCTACCAGCGGAGCCCAGCCCTCGTCGGACAAGCTCTAACCTACCGACCCAGGTCCCAACATTTGTAGTAATGTAGTACGTGTAAGTGTAAATGTGTGAAAGTAAGAAGTGAAGATAGGGCGAGGAAGAGAAAGAAAAGTATGTGCGCGGTCCACGGCCAATTTGTTAGGGTACTGCACCGGCATTTTCCAATATTGGCAGGAAAAAACAACGGAAAACTACAGATTAGAGCTGCTGGCCGCTAGAATTTACCTCCAGGTACGGTTGAATTCGACCTAACTATCTAACTAGTGTCGAAAATCTTGCCATCCTCGGAATCGCCATCCTGCCATTCTGCCACCCTATGGCCTTCCGATTAGACACACTGCATGACATCAATTATTGATACCCTGAAACATCTATTATGGTACTTCAATCAACAATCGCGCCGCTCGTCAATCGCGCCGCTCGTCAATCGCGCCGTTCGTCAATCGCGCCGTTCGTCAATCGCGCCGCTCGACAATCGCGCCGCTCGACAATCGCGCCGCTCGACAATCGCGCCGCTCGACAATCGCGCCGCTCCACAATCTCACCGCTCCACAATCGCGCCGCTCCACAATCGCGCCGCTCCACAATCGCGCCGCTCCACAATCGCGCCGCTCCATAATCGCGCTGCTCAACAATCGCGCCTCTCAACAATTACACCGCTCAACAATCGCGCCTCTCAACAATTACACAGCTCAACAATTACATCGCTCAACAATTGCGTTGCTCAACACATGTGTCCATCAACCATCGACAAAAACACTCCAAAATTTGTTTGAATTTCTGCGCTTTCAGTTAAAGTCATTTTCCAAAACACTGTTTTAAACCATTGAACATCTTCAATTTTGTCATGTAAATGAATAACTTGTCTCAAAATTCTTGATCTTCAGCGATGAAATTTAGGAGTATTTTGTGAGTCCTGGAACGACAATATTTTACTCAAGCGAGAATGAAACGGAATGTTTCTTCTCTTTTGTCTACCCTATATGAATGTTGACAATATGACGGCCGTGCAGAGCAAGTTCCCCTGTAAGGTGTCTTCGTATTGAATTCACTTTTCATCACAATTCACTTCCGTCGTTTTCGACTTCTAGTTTATGCACAGCAAATTGCTAATTTTTCCGTTCGTTCATAATTATGTTTATTGATACCTGATAAAGTATATTTTTCCAAAGTAATGACAGTGTTTCAGAAACTGTTCTTGACTATATGACTTAACTGTGTGGTAGTGTACTGCAGGTTAGTGTAAAGTGTAAGGGGGAGGATACGACAAGGAGAGGGAAGGAAAGATCGCGCGCGGTCCGTGGCCCGTTTGTTAGAGTAGTGCTCCAGCATTTGTCTGTTGATCAGAGATATAAACGAAAGCCATCGATCAGAGTAGCCGGCCGCTAATATTCTCCTGCAGACAGTTTCTAAATACCATACAGGTATTTAGCGTGTCGAAAAATCCTGCCATCGTCGGGATTCGAACCTAGGACATCCCGGTCAGAGGCACTGCAGTGACATAGTTGATGCCCTAAGACACATAAGCCAGTCCGCCATACCTCAATGCATTAAGAGTTCCCTACTGTATTACATAGGTGACTTTGTTATATGAAATTTTCATCTACATGATTATGCAAGAAAAAAGGTGGTCTTCTAGGACAACGCTATATGTTCTAGACGTTTATAGCATTTATTCTGAGACAACTGTATATCGACATAGAAATATCAATAAATTGTTGAAAAAATATGGAGAGGTAAGAACAGATAAAAATCGCAGCCCAGACTTAGCGTAACGGTCTTCTTCCTGACTGATCAATCACACTAACTCAAAACAGTGCGTCCTTGAGCTGCACACATATTTATTTTGAAGCTGAAGACTTCAAGTTGTCTCTGTTAGACTGTAATCCACAAAATTATTTAATCGTGTTCTACTACGTTTGAGGTAGGGGTGGGGGGTTCTTCTAGAGTCCATCATTACGTGGAAAAGGTAATTCGAGATTAATTCACTTTAATTCTAATTTTAAGTACATTCAATGTCAGGTTTACATAATTTTTTATACAATTAAATATTTTTCGTGATCTGCTTTTCCTCTTCTAATCGAGTTTCCACCTACCACAATTCTTTCATGGATAGGGAAATTCCGTTTCCCGGTGTGCTATAGGTCGAGAGAAAAAATTGCAATTCTGATGTGTCTCAGGCGACACGAGTCACTTAGTTTCGCGGGTGACTGTAGCTGTTGACGGATGAAGAGAAGATATGACCTGTGGGAACAGTGTTGAATTATTCAGTTCACCACGGTCGTGACAGAGTACTAGAACGCAACCCCCTAAAGAGTATGTTTACGAAACTGGAACACGGTTTGTGAATGGACATTGAAGCGTCACGTGTACTGAATGCACAGTAATATTGCCGCGGACTGCGTGAAGCATTAGGTAGTAAAGGGTTCGGTGCCAAGATCTGTAAAAATATCAAAAAAGTAAAAATGAAAAGTACTTTTGAGATCGCCATTTTTGAAACATGTTCGAGGAGACATTTTTTTATGATTATTATTCATCTTGTATGAATTTTATGTACTACCGCAGATTATGTACTTCCAAAATTATGCATTGAAAGAATTGTATTCGGGGGAAAAGTAAACAAAAGTATAATATCATTTCTATTCTTATAAAAGCAATACGTATGATAAAGGTGAAGTTAAACTAAAATATAAATGACAATAACATTGAAGTGGAGGAGGGAAGAAAAAGGAAAATGTATTTACAGAATCTTTTGGAGATTTAATATTACTTTTCGTTTTCAAAACGAATATTCTCTGACAAATTATATTTATATGCATAACAATGTGAACACGAAATCGAAAATGAGAGATACAAATTTACAACTGTTGATCAAACCACTGGATGCAGTGGTGTGGTCAGGATACGTACTCAATATGTGTAATAAGTCCACAACCGAGTCGACTATTTAATTTTTATTTCAGTTTCTGTTTCTGAAAGCGAGTCACGCGTTCAGATAAAATATCTCCTTGCACGTTCATGTGTTTACACGCAATCCAAATTTGCAGGTCGCATGAATAATCCTCATTATCTGTGCTTGCGCTTATCATAAAGATTACCAAAGGAGAAATACCTGAAACTGTAACACACGCGTTGAAACGTGCTGTTTTACTTAGCTAACTAATGAATGTTTCATTAGTGTGACTAATGAAATAGAATTGAATAGAATTTAAATATAATTTGATTCACTTTTTATTGCTGTCATAATATTTTTATTAAAATTTCATGAAAATATACTCTGAATAATAAAAATATGATAAGGCAAAATACTTTCCTTTAACATTTGTTACCTAAGAGTGAAAACACATATTTTGTACCATAAAATATTATATTGCAATACAGAATTAACTTCGCGAAGAAACATTTCATATCAGTTTTATTAATAATACTTTGATACTACTATTAGTTATTTCGAGGAAGAGTAATTTTTGGCTATTCCGCTAGATTAGTGTTAAGTGTAAGTTAATGTTAGATTTCACTATGCATGCATTCAAATTAAGATCTTTAACGAAACTTCGCATTGGTGGATATGTTATTTAAGGTTATTTTATGCCTTCTTTCCATTGAAGTTCAATACACTACATATATTCCACTTGTCTGGTTAAATAAGACTAAATAAATATGAAGTTAAGTATAACATGCTCATAATTGGTAGTAGTCATCAATGTATGACATATCATGTTCAATGTTACCATAACATTCAATCCAATAGTGGTCGCTAATGACCTAGATGTTGAAGCGACCTTAAATAACAAAAAATATACTAGTGGTGCAAAAAATATACAGAATGGCACAGACTTTCCCGTATTAGTTTACTATTTCCTTTGGTCTCGGCTAGCTACTCGGACTTGCTATGTACTCTTGCTAGTTGCCATCTATCACTGCCCAAAGTACATTTTTTGACATTTTCTTAATTTTTCTGTTTCCTAATTGTAGAGCAGAAACATTATTTTAAGATTATCAAAGAACAGTAAAACCTCCTCCAAACTTGCAATTTTATTTGAAAAATTAGGGTCCGTTTATAAAAAACTGATCTTTAAACGCTACTGTAAATGCAAAATTTGAACCTCTTTTCACAGAAAATTTTAAGTTTCCAAAACTTCATATGAAGTCATTTTAAGCACTTTTAGCAACAAATGCAATAATGTGTACAAATTGCTGGAAATGTGCGTACTAAAGAAAAGAGAGATCTTTGAAAAAAGTTACATTAGTGTAATTTTTTAAAAAAACAAAACATATCCCTAAATGAACTTTACGTCATATTCAAGAGTGCAATTAGCATTATT